AAGTTTCAGTACATTAACAAAAATATTAAAAAATAAATTAAACCCTAAAATTGAATTCAAATATCTAATTAAAATAAATAATAAACTATACATTAAAATCAAATCAATGTATTAACATATATATTTACCCTAAAATAACCCATTCAGGTAAATACCAAGTCAGGTCAAATATCATATCAATTCAAAAACAAGTTGAATCATTTACATATTGAGTCAATAACATATCAGATTCATAGCAAGTCAGGTTGATAACCAGTCGAGCAATATCAGTAATTTATCAGGTTAATCTCGGGTTTAGGTTCATATCAGGTCGGATGCATGTCGGGTTCGGTTATCACATTATTAGGTTCAATTCAGTTTAGTTCATTCTCAGGTCAGTGCAGGTTGGGTTCAAATCCGAAATTTCCAAGTCTAACTTGGGTTCAGGTCGACACCAATTAAGACTCGAATCGATTTCGAATCATCAACACCTCGGGTCACAAACAATTCTAACTCAAGTTAGTTTTGCATGATGGGTCAGTCTTTTACATCCCTATTTATCAATAGGTTAGATTCATTTTAAACATATATTATCTTGTAATCACCGTAAACAATTAAAAATAATAATATTATATGTCAACTTCGATTTTATTTAATTACACATAAAAAAATGTTGACTCTTGTACACATAAAATTTTAATTTTGATTCTATTATACATTTTAAAAGGAAATATATTAATTTATTTTCATATTAAATGAATATAACTATTTATGTATATAATATGTAACACAGAACAATTTTAAAAACTAATAAAAAGATCAAAATTTTATGATATAAAATCAAAAGTTACATATTATGTTACACATTTGATGATTTATTTCTAAAAGAACAAAAAGTAACTTATTAAACTCTTCCTCTAACCTCGCTAGTATATAATAAACATATTTAGAAGCAACCTTCTAAATATCAAATTAGTGTCTTCCATGCCTATTACATGTAGAAGATACTGTTTTAATCCTTATTAACATTAAATCTTAAATTTGATCACGGATTACATCTCATTTCTTTTATACAGTTTGTAACGATTCCCTATTTAATGTCCCTAATCAAAACAATATCCTTCTTAATGTCCCCAAAAAATAATAAGACCACTAATTTTAGGTTCAACCTAATCACCTTAACTTAATAAAAAAAAAACCCCTACTAATCCAATTCTTAATTTTACTTATTTGGTAGTGTCATCACTTATGAGTTATGACCATATAAAAGTAACATTAAGGGAGTGTTTGGTTTGGGGTATGTGGAATTACCAGGGGAATGAAATTTTCATTCCCCCGTTTGGTTGGCCAACATTTCCAGCCCCCGATAATCTTTTATTACCAACAGTGATATTTTAGAGGTATATTACTGGAAATGTGATTACCTCCCTTCCCTTATATATTGTTGGATTACCGGGGTTTTGGACTAAAATGTCCTTAATTTTTTTTTTTCAAAAATATCATTATTCTGTCTTCGAATAATAAAAATTATAAGAATATTAAATTACAAATTTATCCTTAAACTATTTTAGATTTACAAAAAAATCCATAATTAATATTTTATATAAAGTTCAGGGGTTAAAATAAAATTTTACCCTTTCATTAAACCTATTTATCTTTTCAATTTTGTATAAAAATTATATAAATTTTATGAATTTAATTTTTTTAAAGAACAACAACAACAACAACAAAACTCTATTCCCATATGTAATGGGGTAAGGGGGATGTAGGGTAGTAGGTTGTCCCCCAACGCCAGGTTGAGAACAGCTTCCGTGGAAGACCTCCGGCAGTCAAAAAATTAAAAAAAAAAAGATAAAATACAATGCATGTTTAAATAAATAAATAAAATACGTAGTTGGACAATCTTCATATGCAGTCTTCATATGCACGTCTGTAATGGGAAGTAATCCCTGCAAATACACCCCTGCGTAAAAATATCTGCATATAGACAGAAAAGTAAGACCCATCCAAAATTTTAAAGAGGAAACATGAAGAACAATATACAAGGAATTCAACGATAGCAGGTTTCGAGAATGGATAAAGTCAAATGGGTTAAAACCTAAACTAAGACAACACTACTCCGCTACCTTAGTTCTAGGCCTTCATTAATTCCAATGACAGAAACGTATAAAAAGTATAAGTAATGAAATTAATACAAAGGCATTAAAAGAAGACAAAGATGATACACCCAATGGATGTGACTCGCCCTACTCGGCTACCCTGGTCTTAAGTCGCCATAATTTCCTATCAGAAGTCATGTCCTCAGTAAGGGCTAAATCCTTTAAATCAGATCTCAAGCAGTTTTCCCATTTCCGCCTTGGTCGACCTCTCCTTCTGGTACCGTCGACTGTAATCGACTCTACCCTCCTAACCGCATATGATGGTTGTCGTCTTTGGACATGCCCAAACCATCGTAGTCTTCCCTCCCTCAATTTTTCGGATACAGGCACCACCCCCAAGGACATCCTAATAGCAGAGTTTGGTGTCATGTCCCATAGAGTCCTACCACACACCCATCGAAGCATTCTCATTTCTGCGGCCTCCATCTTCCATACGTGATCCTTCTTGATAGCCCAACATTCTGATCCATACAGCAACGCTGGTCTTATTGCCATTCTATAAAATTTTCCCTTAAGTTTTAGAGGTACATTCTTGTCACACAAAACTCCAGTAACAACCCTCCACTTTAGCCATCTCGCCTTTATACGGTGTGAAACTTCTTCATCTACACCCCCATCTTTACGTATCATAGACCCTAGGTACTTGAAATAATCCTTTGAGGGGAAAAACGTGTCCTTCTATGCATATTTCTACGTCTACATCGTTTTGGTTCCCACTGAAGTTTGAACATAAATACTCTGTCTTTTCAATATTGATCCTTAGTCCTTTTTCTTCCAAAGCTGTTTTCCAGGTAGACAGTCTACTATTCAACTCAGTTTTTGATTCAGCCACTAAGACAATGTCGTCAGCGAAAAGCATACACCATGGAACACCGTCTGGTGTCGCACAATAGATGTCATCCATAATCAAAGCGAAGATGTAAGGGCTAAGAGCTGACCCTTAGTGGAGTCTGATTTCCACCGGGAATGCCTCGGGTGTCACCAACTGTAGTCCTGACGTAGGTAGTAGATCTACAATACATATCACGAATCGCACGGATATAAGTAGTTAGGGTCCGTCTCGTTTCCAATGTCTTCCAGATCGTATCGCGAGGAACACTATCATAGGCCTTCTCAAGGTCAATGAACGCCATGTGAAGATCTCTATTTTTTTCTCTATATTTCTCCATAAGCCGTCGAAGTAGATGAATCGCCTCCGTAGTAGACATGCCTGGCATAAAGCCAAATTGGTTTTCCGATACCCTAGTAACATGTCTCAACCTGACCTCTATCACCCTTTCCCATAGCTTCATGGTATGACTGAGTAGTTTAATACCTTTGTAGTTGCCACAACGTTGGGGATCTCCTTTATTCTTATAGATTGGTATCACCGTAGACTCTCTCCACTCCTCTGACATTTTGACAGTCTCTAGAATAATATTAAAGATGTTGGTCAACCACTTTACTCCCTCTTCTCCTAGGGCTAACCACACAGTGATAGGAATTTGATCTGGACCGACAGCTTTGTCCCTTCCCATCTTTCTAAGAGCCATTTTGACATCCTCAAACCCAATCTTACTTGTGGGGCAGTCAATGACCGTTGTATGATGGTCGTCTGACCCATCAACATTACTATCTCTACAGGGAGAGACACCGTCATTAAATAAGCCAAAGAAGTAATTACCCACACCATTTTAATATCATGATCTTTCACTAAGAGGACACCATTGTTGTCCTTAATAAACCTAATGCGACCTAAATCTTTTTTCCTATTCTCCCTGGATTTTACAAGCCTGAAGATGCCGTTTTGTCATTCCTTAGTGTCTAATTTCTTGTACATTTCCTCGTATGCCTTATCCTTTGCTTTGGCCACCGTTTTCTTGGCTTCCCGCTTTGCCTCCTTGTATCTTTGTTTAGCTTTCGATCTTTCTTCGTCGTCAGTGCATTGTAACAACTCCTTGAAGCAAGTTTGCTTTGTCTTCACCTTAGTTTGGACTTCGTCGTTCCACCACCACGATTCTTTATGTTTCTTGCCCTTCCCTGTCGACAACCCAATGGTGTTTTTTCCTACCTCTCTAATGGAATCTGCCATATTTTTTCATAACATATCTGCATTTTTTGAGTTTGAAGTACCAAAACCTGTATTAGACAAAACCTTACTCCTAAACTCATCAACTATCGCTCCATATAAATTAATTATAGTAATATTATAATAGAATTCAACTTGTTAAAAAAACAAATATATAATAATAACAATTTGGTAAAATATACATTCCAATAATCTTTTATTCCTCTAACCAAACACTGTAATATTACATTCCTGCTAAACCAACCAAACACAAAATACAACATTTTCAATAATCCTATTCCCCGATAATCTTTTATTCTTACTGGTAATCTTACATTCCGTGAATCAAATGCACAGTAATGGTATTCTAATATTCCCCATTAACTAATCAAACATATAAATGGCTCATGGGAAAGATTAAACATTTAATAACACTAGTAGCGCAACAATTTGAATCCCAAACCTTGCAGTATCATTTAGTATTAATGAATATATCTAAATATTAGTATATTTTTAACCAAGTAAATTGTTCACCACAAGAAAGTTCTCTAACTCCTCGTCAATTTCATATCTCTAAAGCAGAGCATTATTTAAGAATCTATTTGAATATTCGAAAACCCTTATAATGAAGGTAATGATACTGTTGTAAGAAACAAATTGCCTTTATCAACACAAGAATTCATCAAATTTATGTCTAGATAGATCTGACAAAATCGTAACGAAATACGACGATGATCTTAAAAAGTCACTCACAAACACTAGTCAATAGCATCGCCATTCCACATCAAACGGATATAAACTAAAACGGAACAATCTTCTCACTCAGTAGCTTAATGATCTCCGGGCACGCTATTAATTATATCAGAATCACCTGAAATGAAAAAGAAACACAAAATATTACCACCACCAGAGGTAAATGCCTAGAGTGTATGTAAACTCAATATGTTATCAACTCCTTCATACATACCCGGGTTGATGATGCCGAGGCAGCACACTCGGAAATATTTGCCACATGCAGTGCCCAAGTCTACATTGTCTGTAAAAACGGAACCACAAGATTTTTAAGAATGATCCTTAAAACAAAGTAATCCATTTGCTCAAGTGAACCAATATATCACAAATTACACATGAAAAACTAGAGTGACGCGCCTCGATGGAGAACATACACCATATACTATAACAATCAATTCATTAAAGGACTTCGACAAACATATTAGTTCCATAAAAGAAAATGCAAATATATAGGGCTTTTAACAATATCTTCAGCTGCAAGACCTACTGCTGAACTAAAGAATCAAAGGGGGTAGGGAAGGGATGAATTAATTTTATCAATAATCCGTGCACTGAGCATGATGTGGAGTTGATTCAATGTGATGCGAAAAAATAATCAAATATGCAAAGTAATGGTACAGGTCAAGGTACATACTTCCATTGTAGTGGTGAACTCCAACCTTGCACAACATGGCATAATATTCAATCTCCGACTTCCTAAGAGGAGGGCAGTTGTTGGCAATGATAATCAACTTACCTACACAAAATTATCAGTGATTGTAAAATCCAATATCACACAAATAAAAAAAAACCAATCCCCTTGTTTATGTTAAACACTATTTTAACCAGAAGTAAGTTCATCCAACATCAATCAACCATCCAAAACAATAAAATAAAAAAATCCCATCATTTTTTAGTACAAAAAAGTACTAAAAGTGCCAGGAGTTCTCAAATCAACCATCAGGTAGCTCAGCAAAGTAAAAAATTTGTAAAAACGGTTCAGCAACGTTAAGGAAAATACGCAGAATTAAAAGAAAATAACAATACCTTTGGAGTTTCTGAGAGATTTAAGAACAGTTTTGTAACCCAAAGTGTATTTCCCACTCTTCATAACGAGAGCCAATCTGTTGTTAATGCTCTCATGGGTCTTCTTCTGCATTTCATGAAATACCCAACCAAAAAATACGTACATTAAGTTGCTCATTTTGCATAAAATTAAGAATAAGTGTAAACATTAAACAAAAATTAAAAATGGGAGATGGAGATTTACTGTCTTCTTGGCGGCAACCATTGTCGTCGGAGGCGGCGGAGGGACAAAAGCAACTACAAATGGTTCATCTAAAACAAGGAAACCCTAAAACCAAACGAATATATTGATTCTGAGTTTAGGGTTCTTAATGGCTTCCTTATTGGGTTGAATTTTACGGCCCATTAGTAACAGTGGATCAGACCGACACGTGAAGGATTAAAATGATTGGACCAATTTTGGATGAGCAACCTGTAAATTATATATAAACGCAATATATTAAATTCTTGAAATTTAATTGTTTTTTTTAATATTTTATGTTTATTGATAATTTTAAATTATTATTTTTTATACTCAAAAAGGAAAATAAAAATCAAACTTATTTAAGGAGTATTTTTTTGGAAACTTATTTAAGGAATATTATTTTAATAGTCCAAAGTAATTGCACGCTAGTATCTGTTTAAAATTTTCTTTAGTCACACACACTTTACGGCGCAATTATTCAAACTTGAAATCTTTAGAGAGAACAACACTCTTATACTATTGAAGTCGGTTCATATAACAAGTACAATTATAATTAAAAAATAAATATAATTATTTGACAAATTTAATGATTGATTTATGAGAGTATTATTTTACACTGATATAATTGTATCCTCATGTGTGTTTAATAGCTTGCAATGCAGAGAGCAGGATGGTCCTTTCCATGGCAATAACATTTCAACCATTCATGATTGAGATTTCATCCAAATTGATCAAAACCATAAAATTAGGGTTTTTTATTTGAAAAAAAAAGAGCCTAAACATTACAGACATGGCTAAATTCACTAAACAAAAAGCGTAAGCCACGCTAAACACTATGTTTGAATTCACATTCTTTTTACATGTACAAAAATATATAAAAATATGTTACACAACGCACTTGCACAGAGGAGGAAAATTACACAGTTGAGGGGGGGAATCCATTAATATACAGGCCACAAAATCAGGAGCATTCCCATACCATCATCTTGCCATGAATGACCAATGAAAGCTGGCATGACATTCACAGAGATATGCTACTTTATCCCTACGTCGACACCTTTATCTCCTCTGCTTCTTCGATAATGGCTCTGCCTGTGCTTTGGTCTACAAAACCGTAAAATGACATGTCAAGAGGCGGATGTGAATTTCTAAGGTGAGATGTCACCAGGAAATGACATTTATTCGTATCATTATGATGAACATTTTTGTATGCATACCAAATTATAGATGACTGCGATTAGTAATGGAAGATGGTGCTTACAACATTTGAAAGCTGCTCTTGAATGTAGGCCATTGATCTCAACATTGCACCTAATGTATCCCTGGACACCTGGAATTTAACCTCAGACTCTCCAGTAGAGGTCTCAGAGTCTTGAAGCTGGAACAGAGATGAAAAAAGAAAAATAAGCAAAAGACGGAAGTGGAATGTTTAGAGGGTAAAAGAAAAACTCTAGCTCAAGTCTAATGGGATATGATGTTAAAGCAAGAGTCAAATAATATATTCATTTCTGCAATGCAAATTTAGATTCAACACGATTCCATTAACAAAACAATCTTACAAACATATTAGTACATATCAAAATTTATCATATAATCACAAAAGGTCAACCCCATATAAAATATCTTAGCAGAGGTTTATTTTCTCCAGCATTATAACCATTAGGAAGAGTGTGGCTTAACATACCTTTAAATTGATGACGGCAACCCTGTTAGCTGGGGTGGAGAGCTGTTCACTAATATAAGCCATTGACCTCAGCATAGGTTCTAAAGTAACCCTTGAGAGCTGAAACTTGACCTCCATTTCAGCAGATGGATTCTTGCCGTAATCTTGCAACTGTATCGATTATACATCAGATACGCATAAGAAATGGGTTTGGAACAAGTTAAAAATATTTGAAAGTGTAATGACTAAAAATATCAATTATACATCAGATATGCATAAGAAACGGGTTATTGTACTTCATCGACTAATTTAAAGGTTATAATTGTGACACTGACTACTAGGATTTTACCATACATACCTTTAAATTAATGACTGCCACTCTATTTCCAGGTGTTGAATTCTTATTCTCCATCACCCAAGTCATCGATTTCAAACAAGGAAGAACCGGCTACATCAAAGCAGCCCATAAATTTATCAAGTAAATATCATTTTCTTCAGTACAAGACCAATGAAATGACATTAAAAAGAAACAAAAACAAAGAATTACTTATTGTACCATGTTATCAGGATGATTATCATCCTGATGGAGCGAAACAGGAGCCATATGCGGCAGATTCAAATCTGAGACAGATTGATCTGGAGCACCAGTGTCATTAAGATTGAATCGCCGTGTATTTTCATCTTGCTGTGGCCATAGCAAAGGGGCTGTATCTGCAGCTGAATTTGATCTCCTATTGTCACCATAAGCAGCACTAATAGCCTGTGAACCAGGAGGTGCAACTTTTGCAACGTTTTTCTTTACGACAGAAACCTTCTTCCCACCTTCCTTAAGAGCACCCATTGCAACATTATAAGTTTCAGTAGCAATTGCCCCATCTTCAGCATATTTGATTGCTTCCCTGCACAAACTATTATACCGTGCTGTCAGGGACACTTGGCCTTGCAATTCTCCACCATGTTCGTCTATCCCAACCCCAGACTTAGCATTTTGTGTCCATCGTTTCAAGATGTAATGAGATGGTAGTGTAAGTACATTTGTCACAGTGAAAACTGTCAAAACATGTCTACAAAGGATGCCAGAATACTCAAACATTTGACAACTACAATTGGCTCTCATTTCAGGGTAGTTTAATGTAACTATGTATGCTTTGTTAACGTCCTCAAACTTAGCAACTCTAAATGTGCTGATTGTTTCATTCCCTTCAATTCTATTAGCAGTGTAAACAAAAGTTTCAACTAGTTCTTCCTGAAATTTTGTGAATATTTTCCGTGTATATAGATCTCCTGCCTGTTTCTCCATAGGTGATGGCGTCCGCAGGACAGGAGTGGTGCAAATAGTGTCAAAATCAGCCTCAATCTCCCTTTCAAACCAACTCTCCATTGCTCGTTCATACTGTCTAAAGAACATAGGTATTGTGGTCTGTTGATTCACATAACCATCAAAAAAGGAGCCATCAAGTCCTTGATTAGGGTATATTGCAGCAAAAAATGAATCTCGAAAATAGACAGGGACCCATTGAGCTCGAGCACTATATAGTGACTGAAGCCAATCATGTGCACTAAGATTATACTTCTCAATAAGGGAACTCCAAGATAATTCAAATTCCTCAATAGTTTCAGTCAAATTGATGCAATTATACAGTTCTACCTGAAAATTAGGATGCACATGACAAACATGAGCTAGCTTCTCCGGACCTTCTCTTAAAACATGCCACTTATTAATACAATGTCGAATACCTGGAAAAACCTGTGACACTGCTGTCTGCATAGCTCCGTCTTGATCAGTGATTAAAGAAACAGGTTGACGATCATTCATTGCTGTAAGAAATGTTTTAAAAAGCCAAACAAAAGATGTCTCGGAATCATCTAGTAGTAGTGCACAACCAAACAAAATTATCTGACCGTGATGGTTGATCCCTGAAAATGGAGCAAATGGCACCCTATACTGATTTACTCTGTAACTCGTGTCCAGTTTCACTGCATCACCAAAATGCATGTAAGCTGTCCTTGACCTTGCATCGGCCCAAAAAACATTAGCCATTTGATTATCATCATCCAGCTGTATTGCATAAAAGAAACCAGGGTTCTCAGCCTGCATCTTCTTGAAATAATCAAGCAGATTTTGAGCATCCCTCCCCAGTGTTCTCTTTCTCGTAAGAGGCCTAACAGCATAATTCAGTGTCCCAATATTCTTCACTGAGGGATTTGCTTCGGCTGGAGGATTGCTCCTGACACCATGATTATTTGTGTCCGTGGAGACATGATTTCCATCCACAGAAACATACATCACACCACTTGGTACGATTCCCACCCCTTGGTAACCATCAACCATGGTCTTTGCAGCACCAGCAAAGTACCTACGGGGACGAAGGTAATGCACTTTGCTTGGACTCATCGCAGGATGTCTATGCTCCTTCACAAATTTTGTAACAACCCACTCATCTCCCTTTAACTCTATTCTAAGCATCGCGTCACAACTGTCAGCAGACCTTCTTTTCACACTGTCTCTACCACAGACAAACTCCCTAGCAACTATTGTCCCATCAGTATTAGAACAATAAAGCTGGCCAAATTTGGAGCTAAATCCCATATGTCTACAATACTCGTCATAGTAAGCTTTAGCAGCGTCTTCAGAATCGAATTCCATACCGAGATATGGCTCAGAAATCTCATCCTCGTCATGAGCTAGGGAATTATTTACATGATTTAATTCACCTTCACTAGGTTCAGCATCCCCATCATCTGACATTCCAGGATGGCTTATACGCTCTTCCGAATCAATCACGTGGACATCCATACTACACCACAGTAATATTTCATACAGTGCCTTATTTTGTGAGCAGGTAATGCGGCATATCCTATTCGTTTAAAAGCAACATGAACTAATTTTCAGTCAGCCAATATGAAGCAACTCAGTAAACACAATCAACAAATGAGCACTCTGACAAACACACATTTATAAAAACTTTAACAAAAATTACTGTTAATCAAGTTATGTAGTCACCGCAAATTCTAGCCAATTACATGGAACCATGATGCAAAACAATAAATGTAAACTCAAAATGAATGGTATAAACACAGCTTTCAAATTGACTAAAGGCCCTAAAATATCTCTCAAAATTTGTTCTGTACGTAATTGTACATACATATGAACACGCTCACATAAAATGTAAGAAAACAATAAGTTGAGCAAAACAATAATAATAATAATCTTCTTTTCCTCGTATCAATATCAATAACAGCAAAGAAACCACTCAAAGTGCTCAAAACTAAAACTCCATGGATTGAACATGATAACCAACACGAAAGAAAACCCATTACACAGAATAATCTAAAAACAGAAACCCAGATGGAAAAAGAGCATAAAGGTACTAGCTTTTGATCAAATTCATGAAAATCCCATGAAAGGAAGTGAATAGAGATAGGCAGTACCTGGAAATGTGAGTCTCCCA